GGAGAGAAACGGGGACACATGCCCTTGCGAACACGCGCCACCTCCCGTGGAGACGGGGTTGCCGCCATAAAATCCCAAACCTAGACGGTGCATAGCCCACAGACTACGCGAAACCCATTGGTCTCTTCATTCGATAAGTGAAGCAACGTTCCGAGTGGTGGTATTTCATTTGTGCTTGCGCTTCCACCTATACTACACCTCAGATGTCGCCGCACAGAGCCAGACTGGAGTCAAACTCAACAAGGTCTTCTTTCCCCGCTTAGCCCTTCAAGTCCGTTCCCTTGACTGTCGTTTCGCTAGATAGTAACTCGGGACAGAGGGAATTCACATTAATTCATTCATGTGCGGCACTAATGGCGCCACAGGGCAGTGGACTGGCGTGAAGGTGCCTCACCGTCACTCCGGTTGCCCACGCAAATGTCGACGGATATCACCACGCCGCCATTCATTACACCCCACAGACGCCCCAGTGGAGTGGTCCAGCAACACAACGGTGTCCTTCCCACTCACAGACCTCACACACAATGACAGTCTCTCATGCTCATATCAGAGAGGCACTGCGGCATTCCCTAAAAAGTACACGGAGTCACACACCTACAGAGAGGAACAGAAAAACACAAGCAAAGAAAAACAACAACCAGAACAGGATACCAACAGGACACAAAGCACTCACAATACAATAAACACAGGTCCCACTCCCATCAGAGAAAAACATTTACCCACACCAGCACATCAACACATCCCAACAATAAAGAGAAAAACAGACTCATGACGTGAAGTGGAAGCGGAACAGTCTCAATCCATCCTCCCCGCAGGCTGCAGTCACTCAAACAAGCCACACAACACACACACCACATGGGCACAAATATTTTCGTGGCAATGCTGTGAATGACACCACCGAGAGAGAAGGTGAGAAGAAAGAAATGTGTTTTCATTACGTGGGCGGTGCGAGTAGCAACCCAAACACACAAAGGAACACACAACAGATGGACACACTCAAACACCCACAACCCACCAATCTTTATACCAAAATAAAAATGTAAAAAAAAGGTGTGACTGCATGAGGCAGACACAATAATAGAGCAAAGATGCAAAAGAAAAAAAGAAATTCATTACTTACTGTAGCTGCGATGTCTGGACAAAGTCCAATTCACCCCAAGGTTAACAACGAAAAATCATTGTGTACTGAACGTGTCGTGCCCATATCTTTATTCTTGATGCCCCTGCAGCAGTTTGTATATAATGAAAAAAAAATCATTGCATAAAAATGAACACACAAGATACACAAGGTGTATTAGAAACGCAAAAGAAAAACACACAGCTGCACATAATGTGCAATGAAATTATAATGAAACACACACACAAGGGAAAAGGGAAAAACAAAATAAAAACAAAACAAGAAAAGAAAAAAGCCGTGGTCGCCATGTGAATATGTTCAGGAGGCAAGAACACAATTCCCAGCAGTAGGTGTGTGTGTGTGTCTTTCGTACAGGGCGAGCAGTGGGAATGATGCACACATGATGACAATCCACACACACACACACAAGGAGAAGGAGGGTTGGTGGTGTGCGTGTTTGTGTGTCTTGAACCTCCTGCCATTCTTCACATTTCAGTCACAGCAATTACAACACATTAGGAATGTATCCCATTCCCACGGGTAAAAGCAATAGTTATTAATATCACGGAACACACACACACACATCACCAGGCGAGCACAGTAAACGGCGGCAAAACAGAGCCCAGATAATGCCACCAAACAAAGAGGACACTCCCCTTACAAAATGATGGTTTGTCATGTGATGAGTGTCATAGGGAGTCCAATAGATATGTTAAGTAAAAAATGCAAACAAGAGATTTATCGTGATAGAAGGAAAAAAAAAAAAAACATTTAAATTCAACCAAAAAGAACAGTGCCCTTACAATACGCCCATGTCCAGTCAAACAAAGGTTAACTGTGCAGCTTTGTCATGGGAACACCGATCAACAGACGAGAGTGCAACCCAACACAGACAGGACAAGAAGAATCAAAGAACTGTGCACCAATGCAGGACTGCTGCCACCATCCTTCTTGTTTTTGGCCTTTTCTGCTGCCCGTTTCGCCTCTTCTTTTGCTTGTTTCGCTTTTTCTGCAGCAACCCGTTTGGCCTCTTCTTCCTTTGCTTTTTGTGCCGCCTGCATTGCCTTTTGTTCCTCAGCCTTCCTTTTCTTTTCTTCTTCTGCAGCTCTTTTGGCTTCTTCCGCTTTTCTTTTTCTCTCCTCCTCAGCCCTTCTCGCCCTTTCCTCTGCCTCCTGTTTTTCTCGAGCTCTCCTTGCTTTTCTTTCCTCCGCGTCCGCCTTTATTTTTATCTCCACCTGTTCCACTTCTTTAATGTGCTTTTTCACCAAAGGCAGGAGGGTTTCGTTGAAGGCCTTGATGTCCTTCTGCCGTTCCTCCGCTTCCCGAGCTTCGTCCTTATTCGTTGGACCTGTATCCCCGCTTCCTTTTCCCTTCACTACCTCATTCTTCACCTTCGTAAATGTCGTCTGATCTGGCCTAACGGCTTTACTGGGACAAAGTTCACGGAACTCCCCATACTTTTTCTCCAACAGTAACTTCACACCCCCCTCGGATTGTAGCTTGCATGCATGAGTTTTCCCACTCAGATTATGTAGTTCGCCCAAGACCCTTTCCATTTCCCTGGACCTTGCCGTGTAGTCTACAACGGTTTCATTCCTCTTCTCCAAATCGCAATTTCTGTAGTCTGTATCGTTCAATACCATGGCTTTGTACGACTCGAGTGTCACGTTGAGTTTGTTCGCAGGATCACGAAGGTTTGCGACATAAGTCAAACACTCCCTTTGTGTTCTGCTCACATTTTTAACCAATTCGTCTACCGCATCCGCTGCCTTATTATATTTGGCCTTCATTTGATCGAATCCCCCCACAAACTTCCTAACAGCCTCTGTTTCGCAAGACGCCGTATCTTTCGCCCATTTTCCTTTGAGTGAATCATTGATGGTCCGAACAATTTCGGTGGTGGCGTTCCAGGCAGCTTCCATAAACGCATAATTCTCATTGCATTCTCTCTCCTCCCTCCCCCACATCTCCAAACATGCTCTTCCACCCGCAAGCATTTCCTGCGCAGATCTCACTCCCTCAATCCCAGGGCCATTCCACGTCCGATCCATTATACGCTCCGCAAGTTCGAGCTCCTCCTCTCGAGGTTCAGGGCATTTAGCCGTCTTCTGCCCATAAATCACTTGAGCCTCGCGCGAAAGAAAACACATCAGTACCAATAGGTACACCACACGACGCAGTTGGACGAACATCGTTGTCATGATTGTCACTCTGGGTTGCTTGATTCTGTGGTAACAAGGAAGAACAGGAAAAGGAAGAAAAGAGACGCACATTTAACACACAAGGCAGACAGTTCTCAGCATAATACACACAGAGAGAGAGTGAGTGCGTACACATCCCAACAGCAATCATACACAACCCAATGAGGGGAACAACAATAAACCACTCACACACAATAAAACACACACCCAGAGAGTTACACAGATATTGAAACAACACCTTGAATTTAGAAGAAGTGGAAAACAAATGGTATCAAAACAATATTGAATAAACGTCTCTACACACACTCCAATATCTTACTCGGTATTCATACACAGAAAGTGTGTCTGTATTCTCATTATAATAAAACCATTACCACGCAGTTCGTACACCAAAATACACCAAAAACACAGTGTGTACGCCTGGCAACATACAAAAACAATACCACAAATCATCAGCAAAACAAAGAGACTGTACAATAATAACCAACACACTTCCAAACAGAAAAAAAGAAAAGAAACCAATGCATCACCATAATATTTACACCAACACCACAATTGGGATCTAAAACCCACTCACTCACAACCATAACAAAAATGACTGCATACATCACTGTAATACCATGCCACTCTTTACAAACAGAGGCAACACACAATTACTCTCTCTCACACATATTACCTCTTTATTTATCCTTATTATTATTATTTTATTTTTCCCTCAGAATGCCGGTTCACCTCCTCTTCTTCTCCCACAGCATTATCAACAAAAAAAAAAAAAAAGAATCGCATCCACTCAAACACACACGTCCTTTACTCCATGGTGTGGATTAGGAGGGTACGATCAAACATATCCCCTTCCATCGCACACACAAAAAGGATCCCACGTCGTACCACACCACCACGTTTTTCTTTTTGTTCTTCATGTCTTTATGGATATTACTCCAATGGTACGGCTGATGGCCTTACCCCGTAGGGCATCTTAATTACTGACTTAGGAGTGGCTCTGAAAAAAACGATCCCTTCATTTTATAGGATCCCCAAGCTCTTGTAATATGATTTTTGTTGTAGCCCGTTCCTAAACGAGAGAACCAGTCCACGAGAAATCTGATCAAGTAAATCTAACCAGATCTCTCTACTCTCACTGTTCTTACCCAAAACCCGTCCTCAAGTCTCCTTTTGGTATTAATTTTTTTTTT